GTAAACTGATTCTGGTTTGGGTGCTGTGCAATTGGGGGCACGCAACGCAGGTGATCGGCACGGAGGCGAGGGCGGTGTACAACAACGGGCAGGCGGAAGGGCTCACGTTCTGGGCGCCAAACATCAACGTGTTCAGGGACCCGAGGTGGGGCCGCGGGCAGGAGACCCCCGGCGAGGACCCCACGGTGACCGGCAAGTACGCCGCCGTGTTCGTCCGCGGCGTCCAGGGCTACGCCCTCGCCGGCGCCATCAACTCCACCGACCTCGAGGCCTCCGCCTGCTGCAAGCACTTCACCGCCTACGACCTCGAGAACTGGAAGGGCGTCACCCGCTACGCCTTCGACGCCAAGGTGGTGACCCGTCACGACACGTTGTTCTGTCAGCAAATGGTCTGGCTAATTGGGTGACCCTGCCATTGACGAGGCTCTGAGTGATGCGATTTTTTTTGGTCAGGTGACGGCGCAGGACCTGGCCGACACGTACAACCCTCCGTTCAGAAGCTGCGTCGAGGACGGCGGGGCCAGCGGCATCATGTGCTCCTACAACCGCGTCAATGGCGTGCCAACTTGTGCCGATTACAACCTCCTCTCCAAAACTGCAAGGGGAGATTGGAGGTTTTACGGGTAAGCCAGAATGACTGGAGCTATCAGTTTTTTCTTTGGCCTAGACATGAAGTTTTTGTTCAGTGTGTATGTGACAATGCCCAGCAACTGATCCTTGCAAGTTTTCCTCTGTTGACAGATATATCACCTCAGATTGTGATGCTGTGTCCATCATCCATGATGTCCAAGGATATGCCAAGACAGCGGAAGATGCAGTTGCAGATGTCCTCAAGGCTGGTATGAATTTGCACATCACACCTAGTAATACTTGTCCACTATATATTTACTGGTCAGAATCACCCAATTGTCCTATTACTCTTTGTCAGAGATGGGGTAATTCCACAATATATTGTAGTATCTCAAATATGTTACTTCCTCTGTAAAAACAAAAAAAAAATTGGCGACAAATCTAGACAAGTGTCGGGACGGAAGTAGTACTATTTTGCAACTTTCAAGTGTTTGTTTTCCTCACATGGAGCCCTCCGGGAATAATGCAAAGATATAGGGAGGTTAGGTTAGGTCACTGAACTGCAACCAAAAGTTGATTTGGATCCCACTACCCATACAGGCATACAGCTTTCCCGTTTTGCTGATTTAGGTACTTGAGTGAGATTAATGATCTGTTCTCTAAACAAAGGTATTTCAGTGAGTCCACTAAGAAATAATTCATGGCATGACACTGAACATCATGATATCATCAGGAATCCATCTGTCAATAAAAAAGGAAGATCACCTCTGCTTGTAAGTAGTTGTGCTAGTGTTACATAGCAAGGGTTCAAGTCAACAACGACAATGAATAGCAAAAGACAGTATATAAAAGGTTCAAAAAGAAAACTAACTCAGCATGTAAGTAGTCATTCTGGTGTTACATGGCAAGGGTTCAAGTCAACAACAATGAGTAGCAAAAGACAGTAGATAGTAGGTCCAAATCAACAAAAAAGTTAAAACAATAAAACAACAAATGCAAATTGCTTCTAACATTAATGCAACGATCCGATATACTCCATATTATTTTTTTAAGAAGTGTTTCTTACCTTCTGTAACAACACACTTCCAGGAATGGACGTGAACTGCGGCAGCTACGTGCAGGAACATGGTCTATCTGCAATCCAGCAAGGGAAGATCACAGAACAAGACATCAACAGAGCCCTCCACAACCTCTTCGCTGTCAGGATGAGGCTGGGGCTCTTCAACGGCAATCCAAAGTACAACCGCTACGGTAACATTGGCCCAGACCAGGTGTGCACGCAGGAGCACCAAAACCTTGCCCTTGAAGCAGCACAACATGGCGTTGTCCTACTGAAGAACGACGCCAATGCTCTCCCCCTGTCCAAATCACAAGTCTCATCCATTGCTGTCATTGGGCACAACGCAAATGACGCCACGAGATTGCTTGGGAATTACTTCGGCCCTCCTTGCATATCGGTGACTCCTCTCCAAGTGCTGCAAGGCTATGTGAAGGACACCAGGTTCCTAGCTGGGTGCAACTCGGCTGCCTGCAATGTGTCATCAATTGGTGAAGCGGCGCAATTGGCAAGTTCAGTGGACTACGTTGTGCTGTTCATGGGATTAGACCAAGATCAGGAGAGGGAAGAGGTTGATAGGCTGGAACTGTCGCTCCCAGGAATGCAGGAGAACCTCATCAACACGGTCGCTAACGCGGCAAAGAAGCCGGTGATCTTGGTGCTACTGTGTGGTGGTCCAGTGGATGTGACCTTTGCTAAGTATAATCCCAAGATTGGGGCCATCCTGTGGGCTGGTTACCCTGGCGAGGCTGGAGGGATTGCGATTGCTCAGGTCCTCTTTGGAGAGCACAACCCTGGTAAAATTTCATTCACTTTTTGATCTTCTCATCAGTAGATGAGTACGTTCAAATACTGAACTGTGTTACATGTGACCTATGTTCATCAGGTGGAAGGCTGCCAGTGACCTGGTATCCAAAGGAGTTCACGAGCGTGCCCATGACAGATATGCGGATGCGTGCCGATCCATCCACGGGATATCCCGGACGAACGTACAGGTTCTACCGAGGCAACACCGTCTACAAGTTCGGCTACGGCCTCAGCTACTCGAAGTACTCTCACCACTTCGTCGCAAACGGCACGAAGCTGCCGTCTTTGAGCAGCATCGATGGCCTGAAGGCGATGGCGACAGCAGCTGCAGGCACGGTGAGCTATGACGTCGAAGAGATTGGCCCCGAGACGTGTGACAAGCTCAAGTTCCCGGCGCTCGTCAGGGTGCAGAACCATGGCCCCATGGACGGCAGGCACCCCGTGCTGCTCTTCCTGCGCTGGCCGAACGGCGCGGCGGACGGCGGCAGGCCGGCGAGCCAGCTGATCGGCTTCCAGAGCCTGCACCTCAAGTCGATGCAGACTGTCCATGTGGAGTTCGAGGTGAGCCCATGCAAGCACTTCAGCAGAGCGACGGAGGACGGCAAGAAGGTGATTGATCATGGGTCGCATTTCATGATGGTTGGCGATGATGAGTTCGAGATGAGCTTCACGCCTTGATCGAGCTGGGTCCAGTTCATTGAGTTGGGGTTGGGTACTGATCGAGCTATTCCAAGCCAGCGCATGGTTGCATTTCATTTGCTTGCTTGGGAAATCTGCTGCTTCGTTCAGGGGGCTGAGGATTTAAGTTGCTCAGCAAGTGTAACCATCTATCTTCTTTTCTCAAAAAGAAAAAAAAAGAATCTAACTTATGTGAACAAGAGAATGATTATTTAAGAAAGATTGAGGCACCGTTGACGTCATATATATGCTACCTGATTGTACTGAGTGTGATATTGTGCACGTATGGAGGTGTACAAGTAAGTAACGTTCACAAAAAAGGGCAGAGAAGCAAAGTTCATGCTTAAGCTGATCAGTAACAACGAAAGGAGATAATTGCAATTAGTAATATTCTGTTTTATCTTGCAAAAAGAACTTCTATTCTATCCCACAATTGCAAAGATTTACTAGTATTGACCTTTGTTCGGATACCGGACCTGTGGAAGAACGAACGAGACAGATTGTTACTACAAGTCAGAACTCAGCCGTCCCTGGATCGATCGCGACGGGCGCGTACAGATCTCGACGATCGATCACCGCTCACTGGGTCAGCTAGCGACCGACCGACGCACCCGGCACCGCCGCCGCGGCTGGCGAATCGTAGTGGGGCAGCACGCAGAATCGCGGAGCAGATGAGGGCACCGCCGCGAGGATGCACGATCGGCAAGAAGGGGGCGGCATGAGCGTTTTTTGCGGGCCGAGCACGGAGAAACGGTGGGATTTCTGGGCCTCCGTAGAATCCGTGTAGGATCGGATAGCAACTCTTTCCTCCCGCCTCGGCCCACCAAGCGACGGGGCGCGGGACTCCGGGGTTTCGGCCTTTCAGCCTGTTTCGCTGCGTGAGTTGGGCCAAAATGTTGCGGAGACACGTGCGGACTGGGTTGATCAACCAAGATCTTCGTCGATTCGGCCCAGAAATGAATCTTCCAGCCCATTTTCAGCGGAGAGACGTACACGTACCACTACCGCGGTGCTGCCACAATGAAATGCTGCTCCCGGAGTCCCGGTACTTCCAGAGCTCCAGATAGGGTCAAAACCCATGTTTAGAAAATACAACTCTGGAGAATCCAATCACGTTCTTCAGACAAACGTGAGTCACGCCCCCAAATTAACAGTTTTGTGACAGCTAGCGTCATGCATGGCCAACTCAAACTGTGTTGCCCCAATAATACTTCTCCAACCTAACCAGCACTGTACTTTGGAAAATTTTCAACGTTCAAGAGGGACGGCTATGGACAAAATCACCAAAAAAAAAAAGGTAGCCTTAAAACTTCAAACAGGACGCTACTGCCTACCAGAGCCCCGTACTGAATCAACTCCTTGCATCCTCCAACCAAAGAAAATGTTACAAGGATGTCGCAAAAAAGGGTTGATATACTGAGTGACACCAACGTCTCCTGATGCACAAGTTTTAGAAAAGCAACATCCGATGGAGCTGCTGATCATTGATCAATGGCAAAAAAACACCCAAATATCCAGTTATGCTGGAAATAATAGCATAGAGATTCTCCAAGCGATAGATGGAGTACACACCTCAAAGAACCTTTTCAGCAATTAAATACGATTAAATCATCATTTAAACAATCCAATCCTATCCTATCATATCCAGCACTCACGATCACAGCGCCAACGAACCCAAAGCCAGCTTCACAAACAGCTCATATCTACCGGACAAAAAATCTTACATGTATTTTTCCCCTCTCCATTACCCGGTGTTCCCGTAGTGTGGGCCCGTACCACGAGCCCTACCACCGTCGGATACGTCCACGCGATAGAGTCAAAGAAATCTGAGCCGTCAGATTCGATCAGACCAGTCTCTTCTTACCTTTCCCTTCTTCGGTTCTTCCCCGGCTTCCAAAGCAAACGGAGGAGGAACTGAGGAAGACGCCTGGGCTGAGAACCCGAAGAAGCCCGACGACTCCGGAATCGGGGGCTCGGGCAGTCGAGCTCACCGCGCGCGCGCGTCCCGTCTCGCCGAGGTGAGCGCTAAGAACTAGCTTTACCTTGTTGCGTCGTCGCGGCTTCTGTTGGGTGGAGGAGATTGACTGGAAGCATCCGTTTCTTTCAACGGAGAAAGTTTGCTTTGTTCTTTTGAGGGGGGTTTTGTTGCTGTCCCCGAGCGTTTTGTTGCATCCGCGGGAGATCTTCCGATTGGTGGATATGTGTATGGGGGTATTTTGGTTTTGCGTGGTTGCATTTATTGGCTTCGAGCCAACGAAAGGTGGAATCTTGCATTTCTTGCTACGCCGTTCTGGAGTTTGTGGGAGAATCATGGTGTGTTCTGGCATTTCCTGGGTGCCATCTCAAGAACGTGGCTAGGTTTCTTGGTTCTTGCGGCATGTGCTTGGCGTCGCGCGAAGCAAGAGTTGGGGTTCTGTGGTTATTGGTTCTGTTCCATCAGTGCGATTTTGGGCGAGATTGGTTGGGTTCTTTCGGGAGCTTCGATGATTCTGGGTAAGGGTTGTGGACTTGTACTTTGTGAGCTGACGCTACTTGCTGCGCTGAAATTAGGCGTTCGGGTCCCCTCGTTGTTCGTTTTGTTCACCGGATTGGATATTTGGGGGTCTCGTGCGCTCCTGTGTTGTGCCAGGATCACGTGGAAGATAACTGGATATCGTTGAAATGCGAGTTGGTGGTTAATGTTAACATCGTTGCATTTATGATGGACCATTTCCTAGCCATTCTGTGCTGTCTGTTCTAAATGGCTTGTTAGATTGCAACGCTGCCATAGTGCCACACTAGCTGAAGACAGTAAGCAGTTTTAGAAAAAGGAACTACTGATTTTGTTTCTGCTAATAGAACATATTTCACTGCATAACAGCAAAGCCAACACTGGTCAACACTTGTGCATTATGATATTTTTGCTTTTCATGCATAATGCATAATGTTGATGTGGTTATCGTCCTTGGTGTAATTCAGATTGATGTTCTTATGAGCTCTTGTATGTTCTATGCTCTATGGTAGGTAGTAACAAAAGGACACTATGAGCTCCGCAAGCGGTGTGAACAATGGTGATGGAAAAGAAGCGGCACTGTTTGAGCAGCGGCTATCCAAGGTGAGCCAGTATCACAAAGGTTCAGGTTTTTGTTTGTTTGGTTCTAAAACATCAGATAAGATTTAAATGCAACTCAATCTTTCTTAGTCATCATCCCCTTGACCCTTTCTTTACTTATGAGTTGTCCGTGGAGCAATTTTTTCCTTAACCCTATTGTGTTGTTAGATCAGTTGGTGTTGTTTCTCATTTTTGAATTCTTCTCATAGATTGGTGAAGTTAGAGCTGCCCTAGGACAACTATCAGGAAAAGCTGCGCTATATTGCTCAGATGCTTCGATTGCGAGGTACCTGGTAGCGAGGAACTGGGAAGTGAAGAAGGCCACGAAAATGCTGAAGAAAACCTTGAAATGGCGTTCAGAGTATAAGCCAGATGAGATCCGTTGGGTAAGCTGTCCTCACCTCTTTACTTAAGAAACCTTTTATTGCTCCAGAGAAGTAATAACAGGTCATGTTATCCACATCCACATACGAGTGATTCTCCTTGTACCATTCTAGAGCTATGTGAAACATTTGCACTATTTGAATTTCAATATAGGATGAGATAGCAAACGAAGCTGCAACTGGAAAAATCTACCGAACTGATTACTTTGACAAGAGTGGACGGAGTATTCTTGTCATGAGACCTGGAGTTCAGGTTTATTGATGCTCCTTTTCCCTTGTAAAAAAAATTTATAGTTTACGCGTGCATAAAAACTGTGATTAGTCATCCAATTTTGTTATCTTGTTTTCCAGAATACCAAGAAGGCCAAGGGGCAGATCAGATATTTGGTATACTGTATGGAGAATGCAATTCTGAATCTTCCGCATGACCAGAGTCAGATGGTTTGGCTCATTGATTTTGCTGGATTCTCATTATCTAACATATCACTTCATGTGACAAAGTTGACAGCAGATGTCCTACAAGGTCACTATCCTGAAAGATTGGGTGTTGCAATTCTTTACAATGCTCCTAAGTTTTTTGAGTCTTTCTGGAAGGTATGGTTTTACACAGCTTTGATCATCGTACTAGTATTTATATTCAATCAGAAATTTAGGGATAATGTGTTCCATTTAATTGTCTGATCATGCATTGTTCTCTTGTTTGCATTGTAGACTTATTCCCTCCCTTCGTTTTTTATACTTGACACCAGACACTATTCTTGTAGTATTAATTTTGACCACTCGTCTTTTTTTTAAAAAAAATATTATAAATATCTAAAAATATGTTGTATTGTCAAAGTACTTTGCATGCTAAATATAACTACACTACTTGCATTAATCAAAACATTGTAATTATAAAAAAATATTTGTCAAAGATAAAATCACAGTGGTTAGTATTGTCAAATATAATGTAATGGAGTACAACGTAAGGTATACACTTCAAGGTGGAACTTTCTTATAATGATGGAGCACAGCACATACATTCTTGCTGTCACACCCGTAGGCAACTAACTATTGTAGCATATAAAACTAAATTAACATCATGTTTTATCTAAATGCAGATCGCAAGCCCCATTCTTGAGCCAAAGACTTTCAACAAGGTCAAATTTGTATACCCAGATAGGCCTGAGACTAACAAGATCATGGAAGACCTTTTTAACATGGAAGAATTAGAATCTGCATTTGGTGGCAAAAACCAGGCTACTTTTAACATAAATGATTATGCTGCAAGGATGAGAGAAGATGACATCAAGATGCCATTGTTCTGGAGTCCTGAAAATTCTGCTCTTGCTTCAGAGCCATATGTGATGGTGAACAAGGACATGGCACAAGAAGGTAGTTCAGGTTTGAAGAGTGAAGAGACTGCATCTGAAAAGAGGGAAGAAACAGATACTGAATCTGAAAACAGGGAAGAAACAGAGAGTGAATCTGAGAGGGCAGAAATAGACTCTGTATCTGGGAAGAGGGAAGAAACAGTGGCTGTATCTGACAAGAGAGAAGAAAAAGAGACTGAATCTGAAAATGGGAAAGCCGCAGTGACTTCATCAAACGGAGTTGAGCTGACAAGCTTGCCAGGCGAAGGTAAAGGTATAACCCCGGCAGATTGAAGTGTCTGTTCATCGTCTGATCCATGAATACCACCATGAAAAATGCAAGCCAACTGTTGATATGAACTCCAACACAGTGAATTCTCAGCTCTCACCAAGAGATGAACACCAAATGTTAACTAGAAACGCTTTAACACACAGCAGGAATGTGTTGCCTGACTTGTTTTGTAGTCGGCACCACCATCCCAACCTTCGTGACCTCATTTGAGAACCCTTTCGCAACAATATCTGCCAGATGATAAATAACAGCACGACACTTTGTTGCACTCAGTTTCCTCCTGTCATTTCTCTCGAGGGTTTATTCACTTACTGCCTGCTATATCTTGCAATCCTTTTTTTTTTCGAATCGGAGAAATGTTTTCTGCTTTCTTTGAACATCATTGCAATAGAAAACTGTTTACTGCTTTCTTTGAACATCATCGCAATATAAAAGGAAAGTATGATGTGATTTACTAAGACATCGCATCAAAAATTTAGTAAGACACAAAGCACTTCCGCTCAGCCAGTTGTCCGTTGTTCAGACGTATTTTGGTCAGAAGCCACCATTTACTCCAGTTAGTGTAAGACAAGTGCTAGGCTTGAAAAATGCAGCCCACCCACTACAAAAGTAGACACATTCCTGCTTTTTGTAATTAAGCTACAAGTATAGTAGTATAGACAAAACCACTAATCACAAGTCAGAAATCATCGTAGAAGCTGTGTCTTTGTGGTATCGGAGACTCGAAATGGATCCTGGAATCCAGAGTTGAGTAGCCCTTTCTGATCATGCTTCCATTATCTACATCGGCTTCGATCACAAACACGCTGCAAACAGGCCTGTGATCCGAGAACCTGGACTCCCCTCTGATGTACTGCAGCTGCTCGATTCCCTGGCCGTGCCACAGTATCCGGTCACACCTGCATTTTACACGGATGGATCCGTCAGAAATTTCAGTTTCTTCTCAACAAGTGTCAGTGCTAGCATGTCTGAATCTTCAGAGCATGCAGCTTGTTCTCCTACCATGCAGGTGTTCTTCGTTTCTTCTTCGATTTGGCCGTCTCCCCTGCGTATGAGTCAGAGTTCTGCTTGTATTTGTACGTCGGTGCGAAGTAGATCTTGCCCTCTTTCCACCCTTTGAACACTCTCCCTGCCTGTCTCTCGATCATCAACTGCTCAGGAATGCCATCTTGTCAGTAACATTTTACCAAACTAAGCAGGTGCTTACTGTGTCATATCACTGTAGCATATCTGAAAAAATGCAGGTTTACACGGCAGCATTGTTCATTCATACTTCATATACTAGCTCATACCTGGTCTTTCTCAAGTAATGTATCCCAGTCATTCTCCCCCATCAACGTCTTCGTCTCGTCGTAGCTTAGCGCGACTCGGTAATTCAGGTCTCCTAGCCATATGACCCGGCTGGATTTGCAGATGAGTTCATCATTAGTTAGTAGTACATTTTGACAATGCAGAGTTTGTGAAAATGTTTGTGCATTGCAGCCTTGAGCAAATGCATGATCTTTTATCGGCAATGGCTTACTCATGGTCAAGGATCTTGTCGGGGATACGCTGGCCAGGCACCTTGCAGATCCGCGGGAACTGCGTGCTCTTGATGATCTCGGCGACGTCGGAGTTCCTCCTCACCTCGTCGCCTTCCTTCTCGCCGGAGGCGAGGTGGCTGCAGACGAAGCAGACGCTGGTCTGGTGCAGCGTCATGCTCATCGCGATGCAACCCTGCAAGCAGGAGAGCCAGCCATGGCGGCGCCATGAATCCAATGAACCAAACAGCGAGCAGAGGCAAAGCAAGACCGCGTCGAGCACCTTGTTGCCGAGGCGGCCCATGATGCCTCTGCCGACGGAGTCCACCCTGAGGTGGCCGATGTACTGCACGAGCTCCCGCCGCACCCACACGGACAGGAAGATGCCCACCATCTGCTTGCTCGCGATCAGGCAGTAGTTCACGCTGCTCCTCGCCAGCTCGCCGCCGGCGTCCGGGCCCCCGTCTTCGTCGGCCGCCGCCGCCGCCGACGCCAACGACGGCGGCGGCGACGCCTCGATGCGGTAGAGGAACTCCCGCATCTCCCGCGCCCGGCGCTGCATGGTGGACGGGTCGGTCAGGCAGGTGCACGTCTTCACCAGCGCGCTGTCCACGCGGTAGTTCTTGCTCAGCATCTTCAGCGACGGCTTCTGGAAGAAGAGCATGCCGCCGCTCGACGACTTGGGTATGGAGTCGCGGCTGCCGCTGCCGCCGCCCTGCCGGCTGTCGGAGGTCTCCGGCGGAGACAGCTCGTCGCCGGAGGACTGGTCCTGGGGCTTGTTCAGAGCTTGGTATATGAGGCCCAGCCACTTGGCCGCTGGCTCGTTGTCCTCGATGACCAGCACGTTGCCTGCGTTCAGAGGAACGATCTCCTGAAACCTGTGCAACGTCTCAGAATTGATCAGCAATTTCTTCAGAGATGGCATTCATGTTAGCATGCTGCATTACGGCTAAGAATGCAAAGTTATCTTCAACTCATCATGTCCATGCACAAACATAGAGCAAATTTATATGTTTTTTTCTATCTCAAGAATGCAACGTCAGATGATGAACTGATGCAGAGTATTAAAAAATGGGAAGTATTTTTGTACCCCAAGACATATATATCAGGTAATCCTTCTATCTGTAGAAAATCCTCCAGGTTAAGGCTGCTGTTAGGAGGCTTCCCAGCCACATTCCATGTGCCTACGAACACCCTGCAAAATTGTCAGGTAGGGTCCAAATTCATCACAACTTCCTTTTCTCTTCAAAAAAAATAACATTCAGTTTAAATAATTACCGGTATTCCCGGGTATCGAACTGCCTGTGGGGTGAATCCAAGCAGCTTAGAGTCAAGCTCTCAATTTTTGTGGCGCAATGCCGATCTGAAACCAAGAAAAACAAATTCATCAACTTAACTGCATCATGTATTCAGCGTAATAATGTGTTTGCATACGAATTCTCCAAAATGATCAGAAAACCATGCAATGTTCACGCAGCAAACTACGTGCCTGAAAAGCTCTTGCGGACGGCAGGGGAAGAATCCAAGAGCTCCGACCTATCGTCGCATTTCTCATCCAAACCTACCCAAAAAAACATACAAAAGAAAACACAATGCAACCGTCAACCATGGAGTTCTCGTTCTCCAAGCTGATGAAAGCTTGAAATTGGCACGCTTAGTGCCGGTTCGTTCAAAAAAAAGAGAAAGCTTGAGAGGATCAAGAGCAGTGGAACTAACCGAAGACGATATCCCTCCGCGATAGCAGCTTCTTGTCCGAGCTCCCCGTGCCGCTCCTCCCTTTCTTCCGAAAGATGCTCGACATGAATGACTGTAAAAAAAATAGAGCAAGAACAAGCAACAAAATTCAGCCACATTCTGAATTTTCTCCTCTTTTTGAAGGGATTTTTTTGGACGAGCTGCTGAGAGATCTTACCTTCTTCTTCTTGCCATTCTTGACGAATTCATCAACAGAGGCAGGCTTTGGGATGTCACAGGGAGAATTGTGATTTGACATCCAGCTCGATGTAAATGAAGCAAGCAAACGGTATGGACCCTCATCCGGGAGCCTATCGTGGTAGGCGGTTTTTTTTCCCGGCAAAGCGAGAGCGAAATGTGGAGTAGTGGGGGCAGAAAATTGGGGGGGGGGGGGGGGGGGGTGTAAATGTGGGTGGTGAAAATGGGTGGCAGGGAGGGAATTGTGAGTGCTTGAAATGGGTTCCTGGGATTCAGGGGAGCTAGATGCCCTTGGTTCTTTCTTTCTTTCTTTCTTCTTGCCTCCTTGGTGCCTTCTGGAGAAGGAAATTTTTGTCTGTGTTTTTCTTGGATTTAGCAGATGAAATCACGTTACTTAGGATGCTTCTGGTTTGTCAGCTTATTTTTGGGTTTAATTATAGGCCATTTAAGAGTATGATGGCCTGATGGGTATTACATGGATGTACTTGCTGGGGAGTGGGGCGGTAAAATAAAGTATAAGCAGCAAGATGATCTGCAGGCTAAAAAAAAAAAAAGAAAAACCTATGTACTTGGGATGAGCCGGTGCAGTTTTTCATCACATGGGGAGGTTGCTTGTTTTGCATGAACGAAGCATCAATCGCCAAGCTTTGACCTCCAATTCATAAATTTTATAAATATCACCGACTTTTCCATGCTGAGATACCATCTGTTGGCTGGTTTCAGCGCCTCTGAATTGAGATATGCAGTACTGGCAAGTTCATGTCTTGTCGACATGTGTTCTTTTTTCTAAGTTTGTTGGACAAAATTAATAAAATAATATTGCTGAAGAACAGGCTGAAAGGCATTCGCTCGTCAGGAGAAGTATAAAAGGCAGAATAGCTCACACACAACTTGTCCAGTATATGAATCCATTACAAATTTCTGTTATCGCAACATCTTATGAATGGTGAGCCACAAAACGAGAACACAATGGTGATGTAAATTCATCCCCGTTTGTATCTTCTAGGTCATCACCTAATTTGTCCCTAAAGTCTCTAGACATCCATGTTACATGCTGCATGGTTTCAAACGAAACGAAAAAGAAGGATGCTACAAACTGCAGCCCATACTGAATAGTATGCTTAGCCACTTCTTTGTGGCAGATGGGGGGATAAACTGTATGTTCGACGGATGAAAATTCCTCAGATGCTGGTGGAAACAGAGCCTGCATCAGGCATCAAAGGTAAAGAATGATCATTCCAACCTCTTTGGACTAATGTGTTTCTATATCTGATAATAATGTGCAGTTACTTACAGATGGTTACTGAAACATGTTGTCAAGCTTCTGTCTGTACTGAGCCAAGCTCTGCATCCAAATTTAAAGAATTTAGGGCTGTAAAATATTCGCAGAGATAAAGGCATTTGTCCATAACTACAAATAATATACTGCTCAACTTTAAAATGTACTCCTTACAATTACAGGGAAAAACGTCGATATCAATCGTAGGCCATAAAAGACCTTGTTGTGGTCAATTGATTTGAATTACGGACAGGGTTTAATAAAGTACGGGTGCAACATATGGACTGACATGTTGAGACATCAGTGAAGCAAGTTATGTTCCTATTTCAGTTTGTATAGTTTTAATAGTTTGCAGCATATGGACTGACATGTTTCTATTTCAGTTAGGCAATATATAGTTTGAATCATGACATTGCATCCAACACTTTCCAGTTGTAAATAGAGAGAACTCTTACCCTGGTGTAGGCATAGACACCTGCCTCAGAAGGGCCTGCCGGACTCCCCCGTCTAATAAATTTTCCTTCCTTAAATATATACAGCATAGGAATGCCAGTAGACAGTTCAAGGCTGATAACCTGAAACAAAAGTGGTTGATACCTGTTTCAATAAATGAACTCAGAATAATGAAAAGTAATACCAGAAAATAAGTATATTACCTCTTGAGAAGTCAACTTGTCTAAGTGCATTATAATTGAACGAAGTGAATTGCCATGGGCAGCAATCATCACATGCTTTCCTGCCACAAGCTGAGGTACAATCTGTAGATCAAAAGACAGATACAACTTAGAACAGAAACTTCCTCTTAAATGGTATAGTCACAAACAGGAAGGTAGGTCAATACAGGGTCCTAGGTTGGATGCAGCATCGAGTGATGGCAACAAACCAGATGACAAACACAATAATAGAGAAAATGCAGGTAAAACCACACTTTTTACACATGTAAGCAACTATTGCTACACCAGATGTCCAACTGAAAGAACAGTATTCAATCATATCCTTACTTGATCTTTAAAATAAGCAACTGCTCTCTCTGCACACATCTCTAGGCTCTCGCCATTTGGGGGAGGAATGTCGTAACTGCGACGCCATTCATGAACTTGTTCTTTGCCAAAACGATCAGCAGTTTCTTGCTTGTTAAGGCCTTGTAGTTCCCCATACCTAACAAGATGAGATAAAGTTCTCATGTGATTCAAGTGGCTAAACTACAGGTGCATATTACCTAATGATCACTCTACATCATAGAGGGCAGATAAACTTACATTCGTTCATTCAGCTGCCAAGCTGTTATGACAGGAATTGATTGCTTCTTTGTCTCTTCACTGTATATCTTGCTCCACCTGTGAGCTTGTTCGCTCTCACTGTGCACAACAATTGGAACCTATCATGGTTGCATGTGTCAGACCCTGTTTACATATTTGATCTCAAATGAAAAAATGCCCTGTTTTTCTAGTGGAGATGTCCAAAATAGAGAGGGTAGAGAACCTTCTTACGACGATGCTGCATCATGGCAAGCATAGCGGTCATCTGAGCACGAATTAGTGACGAGGTGTATATTACATCAACTGGGATATTGCATATCCTTTTACCCGCCTCAATTGCCTCGTCAACACCCTTTGGGGTCAGGGGCACATCGACGCAGCCAGTAAATAGATTTTTCTCATTCCATAGCGATTCACCATGCCGGATCAATATGAGCGCACTTTCACCTGCAAGAAGAAAGAATGTTATTATAGCATCACGGTATCAATTATAGCAATAACAGAATGTGCAGCTACTACATTCCAAGTCTAACAGGATTTGAGATGGTTACTTGATTTCTTTGGGGTGTTTCCGCTCTCGGGGCTCAATGGTAGCTGAGCCGGCTCCATCACCGAAGAATGTGAGTTTGAAGCGCATACCAAACCCAATTTCCGGGTGCCCGAGCAGCACCTCCCAACCAAAACAAAACGCACTTTGCTGGTTCTCTTTTCGAAACCAAAGTTGGCACCGGTGCACAACGACTTGACGGATACGAGCGCATGCTGGGACGTGGAAGCAGCCATCCTGTTCTCCATAGAAACAACAACACAACATTCAGCGATTTATTCTTCCTCTTCCCTAGTCGACTAAGATTGAGCAATCTGGAGACGGCTGGTCCACGCATCAAACCAAAATAACCACACTACGGAGATCAGGAAACAGAAGCGACCGCGGAATCCAGTAAAATCACCGCCATTCCCCTCACCATGGATTCCAAATCGCAAAAAAGGGGAAAGGAATGAGGGGAACACATTCATACCTGGGAAGGAATCGGAGAACAGAACCACGCCCGCGGACTCGATCGAGAGCGAGAGGGGGGAGGGGCGCGTCTTATAGCTCTGGTTGGTTCCCCGTCAGGGTCGGCGAAACCGAGCGAGATCCGCGGTGGCGGCGGGCGGGTGGGTCGACGGAGATCGCCGGGGTGGCGGCGAAACCAAGGAGGCGGAAGGGCGAGGACGAAAAAAAAAAAGAATAAAGAAGAGGAGGATTCGTTTGTTGCACGAGACGAGCACGAGGCGTTCGTTCGCTCTCCCGAGTTCTGGCGCAAGTGCGGCGCGGTGCGGTGGGTCGGTCTCGTCTCGGGCTTCCGTTTTATAGAAGCGACCGGGGTTAGGAGACAGACCGGGTGGGTGGGTGGGTGGGTTCGCTCTTGGGCTCTTGGCTCGTGGTGGTTTCAGGTTTCCGACGAGACGACCGCGACGTGGGCTGGTGCTGTGGGAAAAAGATTGTGCTTGCGAGTTAAATTACCGGAAATGTTATACGACGGGATCCGGGTCCTCTCGTGCGTCCCCTCTCTATCCAAGAAAATCGCAGGGAGGAGCCAGAGCTGAGCAACGAGGAGAAGACGGCCGCCGCCGCGGACCTTTGGCGCGGCCGTGGAGGAGGACATGCTTAGCGAGAAGAGGACATGGTTGTCGGCGACAAGCTTCAATATGGGGCATGGACGATGGAGGATGCAGCCGCCGGCGACCACCTCTAGCGTGGGCCGTGGATGGTGGGGCCGCCAGTGATGACATACGCCGTGGGGTGTGAATGGTGGAGGACCTACTTAACACGGAGGACACGGCCGTTAGCGATGACCTCTAATGTGGAGGACCTGCTCGACACGGAGGACGCGAACACCAGCGATGACCTTTGGCTTGGACCGTGGGTGGTAGAGGAGGACCTGCTCCTCGTCAACTACATTGTCGTCCGCTGGGAGTATCGTCTAATCCCTCACAAGTATCACATTACACCTCACAGGAATCATCTGATAACTATAATATCATAATACGATATCATAAATAACGCGTGGTACCTTACAAGTATCACTTGATACCTCACATGAATCATCTGATACCCACCGATATCATAACATGATATTGCAAGTATCGCGTGGTACCTTGCAAGCATCAACTAACACCTCACAGTAATCATCTAATGCCTATTGTTATTATAAACTGGTAACACAAAGTGTCGTCTGATACTTCGCAAGTATCACCTGATAGCTCGCATGAATCATTCAATACTCACCGGTATCTGAAGTCGATACTCTCACAGGTATTAGAACTTATACCTCGTAGGTATCATCCCGTCTGAACGAGATTCCGTTATATAGCATCCCTCTAAATTACACGGTGTTTGAAAATTTAAAATTTGCTGGGATACTACTCGACTTAAGCACGGTTTGAAGAAACAACTTGGAGTCTCATAGTGGTATCGAAATTTGGAAGTTAAGTTTGGGTGGTGGGAAAAGTGGTGGAAACCAATTTGACATGATTTTTTTAGATAATGGGAAATTTTGACTTAATCGGAAATGAATTTATTTTCTATTTTTAAAAAGGGGAAATGAATTGTTGGATACAGAGAAGGCAGTGCAATTGTGCAATTGGAAATTTGAAATTCCCAAGCCGACTTCATCTACACTAATATAAAAAGCACAAGTTGTTTACACTAATATAAAAAGCACAAGTTGTTTAGTTACAATTAGCGCTTAACCCTCCCAATTAGCGCTTAACCGTCGCCAAATCGAAAAACGCTTAACCCTGCAATTAGCGCTTAACCGTTGTCAAATCGAAAAAAACCGCGCCCCGCACCCCTCGCCTCGCCTCGCCTCGCCCTTCTCCGCTCGTGCGCGCATGAAGAAGAAAGAGGAACGAGAAGAGAAGAAATCGAGAAGAGGAGAAATCGAGAAGAGAAGAAAAGGGACACTGTCAGGTCAGGTGGGACCCATGTTCCTTTAATTAATCTTGCACAATAATCATCCTCTTAATCCTGCGTTATTATCTCATTGACACGTGGGTCCGGTTGCACAAATTCTTGATTAAATCTATATCTATACTCTATACTAATCTACTAATATAAAAAGTACCAGTTCATTACCAATCCCGCAATCTTTTAGACCCACTCTCACGTGGGTCCCACTTGTCATCCCTAAGAAAGAAACCGCACAGCGCACGAAAAAAAGAATCACTGCGAAAGAAAGAAACCGCACCACACCGCGCCATCCCCATGCTGCGCCGCCCACCGGAACGAACCCACGCCGCCGCTCCGCCCGCCTCACCTCACCGGCAAATCAATCCACCGCATCCACCGGCCGCCGCCGCTGTTGCCGCGATCCCAGAAGATTATGCGGGCACCGCCACATCCATCCCCGACGACGTGTTCTTCTCCCACATCTTCATGAACCTCCCAGTAACATCCCTCGCATGTTTCAGGGCAGTTTGCCGCTCGTGGCCGCCGTCGACGACCCCGCCTTGGTCCGCTGCCACCTCGAGCGGTCGCGCGCGAGGCAGCTGCCAACGTCATCCTTGCTTGCCGTCACAAGCACGGAAGATATATGGGACAACAAAGCACACTCTCCAACTCCGAGGTTGTCAGCTTCACCGGCTAAGGCTTACCCTGTGAGCGGCGGCTAGACCGGGAGCGAGAGCGGTGGCGGCGCCACCGCTAGACATCACCGCCGAGACTGATCCGATGCTCCACAAGTCTATCCCTAACGGCGGCCGTATCACCTGCCATATCATCCCTACCCACTGCGACGGCCTTTTGCCTTCGCCACGTACGACATGGCCATGCTCGTGTGCAACCCGGCCACCCAGGAGCTCGTTGTGCTGCCGCCCAGCAGTGGCAGCGGCCCATGCCCACGGTCTACAGAATCAACGGCGGCGATTGGCTTCGACCGCATGGCGGAACAGGTACGTCGTCGTCAGGTGCTTCTACTGCAAGTCCCACAACGATCCGCCGGTCTACAACATCGGACACGAGATCTTCACGCTCGACACAGGTGCCGGCGATGGATGGCAGCGCATGCAAGACCAGTCGCGTGCCATCAGTCCCGGCGGGAGGAGACCCGCTGCCTGCACGCGTGGGGGTTTCTTCTACTGGTTCATCAACGACTCTCAGCCATGCGCGCTGTTGTGGTTCAGCCTGCGAGACGAGGCGTTCGACGCGGTCCCGTCCTCTCTGGGCTGCACGGCCTGCGACAACAACGACCGTCTCGCGGACCTCACCGGTGAGCTGTGCTACGTGCATCGCGTCCGCACAAGCGTGGCCACCCACGAAGTTTGGATGGCAGCGGCAGTTGATGACGATGACCAGGAGTGGTGGCAGCGATACCGAGTGGACCTGTGACACAACCCGTGGGGCGTGTGCCGCCGCCGCGGCGGCGGCGGTAACAGCCAACGCTGGTTCCACAACTTCGGCGCCACGGCGGCTGGCGACGATGGCGTGGAGGAGGAGGCGACGTTGGTGGGCATGTTGTACAAGGAGCTGTGGTGGCACAGGGAGCGGAGCAAACAGCTGTGAGTTGGCTCATCTTAAAAATAACTTACACACATTGACATGTTTAGTCAGTGTTTGTTGCTGCTTCAGACATCTTGAAAATAACTTAGACACATTGATATGTTTAGTCAGTGTTTGTTGCTGCTTCAGTGTACGGAAGAAAAATGTCATAGAGAGGCATGGGGGTAGGGGTTTGTTTTTACAAATTCAAAATAAATTTGATCAAACAAGAAATCTTTAAGTACATACAGAACCTCAAATTGATATGGTAAGCTCGCCAACATGTGAAAAGATAACCAAGGAGGAATGATATGGGACTTACTATCAACATCTTAAGGAATGATTTATTCCAATAAGATTACATTACCAGAACATAATTTTTTTATGATTTATGTTACCACATACTAACCCTCATGATTGATTTAGACAATGGATGTATATGGTCAATATATGTCGACGTGACTTGCACGTACACGTTCACTAGTCTCCATTAAAAATGTGTTACATGCGTGGACGTGACCCTTCGTAGATCCTCGGAACACATTTCAATTCTCGATCTCCTGGTGTCCCCAGGAACCAATTCAACCTTGGCCATAACCAAATACAAATATACAATGCCAGCAGTTTTTGCATCAACCATGTGATGCATGCAATAGAGAACGCAGATACGGAGTATATACGTACGGAGAAAACCACAAGTTCAACAACCTCCAATTATTTTATTTTTCTCCGTGGCTTCTCCAATTTTCATCTTCCACCAGATACTTTACGTGTTTAGTGTTTACCATGGGCTCCTCGCCAACAACCATGAGGAATTTCATGACACCGAGCAGCATTCAGAGCATCTGACGAAAAAGGTTTTCGTTTTAAACCGACAAGAAGCTTTTGGAATTCTTGAGTCTTCCTGCCACGGAAATGGCAGCTCTCCTTTTCTTCCCTCATTCACCTACCAGTTCTGGCTCTGAACCGGTCAATCGATAGTTCAACTCTCACGATTTGGGTGTTCTTTGGTTTCATAAAAGGATTTTAGGATATTCTCTGAAGTCTGAACAATGCATGTTTCGATTTGATGGTTAACAAACCTATGATTAAATTATCTTGTGGCAATACTGCAGTGCAGACAGCAGTCAAAGGCTCAAAGCTACTACTGCACATGTGCTTTGACACGAACTTTCGACATTTTTTTGAGTACATTAGTATTGATACAGTCGATTAGCTTGCTTGAACTGTTGAAGGTTTGGAAGTCACCAGTCAATCGATATTCAGTCAGAGTTCAACTTCATTTAGTTAGGACTTGCCACAAAGGATGGGAATTTTTGTTGTGTTTGGCTGTACCAATGACAGTATGAATAATGAGACATGTCTTTACAACGTTATACTTACACAAACACAAGACTTTTCTTCTCTAGAAAACATAAGACCAATTTGATAGTATATCAGAGGACCGGTTTGTTATATATCCTTTCACTTCTTGGTACAGATTGCAAATGTAGTACTCTGCGTATTGGAGACCCAAGGAGCTCCGGTGACGCATTTGCTTTCGGCGTCTGGGCTTAGGCATGTCGCACCCTTTCTCTTCATCTGTCCGTAGTCCCGCCTCTTGTATGAAACGCCAAAATTTACTCGAAAATCTGCCAGAGAATGTAACATGCTTATGTAACAAACAACAACCCCTTTAGGCAAGGGATACTGTTTTCAGATGAAAAAAAAATCAGACAGGTTCAGAATACCACCACCATACCTTGTTTGCACCTAGTCTGTTCAAGTCATGCATATTCCTTTTCATCATATGCTCACTTGTAAAATCCAACCAGGAAGATGTCGTATAGGAGTGTGGTGTTGCCGGGAATATTACAGTCTCCTGTTAAATAAGTAAATCTTCTGTAAATTTGTATATTTTTTCTAGCGAATGCTAATAAGGGAGCCAGACAGATAGCACTGAAACATCGTTAAATACATGAAACTTAATCTGGTCTCAAATTTCTAGAATTAAATTAAGATTACTTGTTTGATTACTTTTTTTTTTCTTTCGTTATTACCTGAGAAGCAACCTGCTGGTTCAGGTCCGTATGCCAAAGTTGCAGGTATCATAAGCTTGCGCTTTCCACCTGTAATGTTATTGCGATTTTCAACAGAGACACGATGTGATTAAGAAAAATAAAAGCAGTACTATATTTTTAGCATTTGACACACAAAGAGATGCATATGCTTATTATTTCTGGATTTCTGACAGTACCAACGAGCATGGGTGGCACACCACCGCCACCACTGATTCCCTGTTCAAGCCCTCGGAGGATCTGAGAATGAAAATGCGAACGAACCAAACAATAAGATTCCTTGCATAACTACATAAGATGCTTGCTACGATCGAAGATGTACGTGCAATGAACAAAAGCTGCGCACCTTGCCTGCGCCAAGGCGCATTGTCAGTGGCCGTCCTCGCTTGTAGGTGCTGTCGAACACTATCCCGTCAGTAAATCTTGCAGTGTAGTGTACCTTACAACCATGAACACAACTCCAATTAACACACTTGAAACTCCTATCAGTGTCATGGCGAGAAAAAAATGGCAGGTTTATTCGTTGTCGAACTAACTAAAGGATCGGTACTGATGCAAATTGGGCAAATTTATGATCTGCCAATGCTTAATTACTCCATACAGGAGTTAATCATATTCAGAAAACACAGGTTCTTCTAGAGAAAGTGCGAGAAACTCTTCTGTCGGAACTGACATTTATGAGCTGGCCGCGCGGGGGCTGGGCGCCGGTGCCGACTTCGACGTCGCAGTAGCCGAGCCCCGACTTGACGACGTTCATGTCGCACAGCTTGTCCCCCACCGTCGCGTAGTACTCGATGCGCGTCGCTCCGGCGTCGCCGGCGGGGCACAGAAGCCCAGGGGAAGCCAGGAACCCCGCGCCCAGCGCGAGCAGCCCCCTCCTGCCGGCCGACGTCGCCACCGGGAGACTCCAGGCAGCCGAGCACGAGGTCGACGACGGGGAGGAGGAGGAGGAGCTGCTGCTGCTGTTGCTGCACGCCGCGACGGTGAGCGGCCTGCCCGGTTTGGCGACCGGAGGCGACGGGATTGGGTTGGAGGCCATGAGCGAGAGGGAGGAGGAGATAGGAGGAGGCGCCATCGGTGAGTGAGTCACTTGGGGAGTAGAGAATCGGATTATCCCCAAACTGTGGCTGCTGCAACGCGGGCACCTCTCTGTCGCGTCGTTATAAACGCCCGCGTACGTCGTCACGGGCCATGGGCTTTCCCAACTCAACACCCGAGGACCGAGGAAGGAATCCTCGTTTTTTTTGCGGGCCAAGCCGCGTGTCTCGTCGCCAAACGGCGGCCGTGGCCCGTGGAACGACAGATGATTCCAGGAAAAAGTACACCGAAGGTCCCTCAACTTGTCATCGAGTTACAAAATCGTTTCCCAACCGCAAAACCAGATATCAGGCGTTCCTCAACTAACAAAACCGTTCACTTTAGATCCTTCGGTGGTTTTGACCCCGGTTTTATTTGACGTGACGGCTGAGTCAGCGCGTGGGTCCCACATGTAAGATGCCATATCATCACCTCTCTCTTATTTCCCATTTTCCCCTCCTCTCCCTCCCTCTCTCTCTTCTCAGGGCGGCCAGCGGGTGCGGATTGCGGAGGAGGCTGGTAGGGCAGCTGGCGACGGGTGGCGATGTGGCAACTTGGTGCGGCACCGACGAGGATGGGGTTGGCCTGCAGCCAGAACGCCGCCATCCCCCACAGCTCCCGCAGCGAGCGTATGCTAAGAGGGAGGAGGCGGGGAGGCCGGCAGCGAGTGCATACGAAGAGGGAGGAGGCGGGGAGGGGTTGGAGGTGGGATGAGGGCGAGCTCGCCGGCCTCCCCGCCCCCCTCGCCAGACCTGCTGTAGCGCCCGTTCCGTCGTGGCGCCTAGCGGGGAAATTATCTCTTAAAAACCCTAATTGCGAAATTTGTTTCTTTGCTTGTTGTCTAGTATCCGTGCCATCTCAAGATCTCAATCCCCGATCTATCGTCGAGTTCAATTCCGAATCCAATCCCTCCAAATCAAATTCCTCCGCAAAAGTCCATTTTGCCTCCCCCAGGGTCGATGGGCCGATTTTCCCTCGGCCCATCTTCCCCTCTCTCTCCCGGCTCTCTCTCTCGCTTTCCCCGGCGCGCCCCCGCTCTCTCCCTCTCTCCCTCCGCTCCGCCCCGCGCCGCGCGCGCGAGCGCGCGTCGCCGCGCCGAGCGCCCCTCCCTCGCGCGCCACGCGCGAGCGCGAGAGCCGCGCCCTGCGCCCCTCCGCTCGGCCCCGCGAGCCAGCACGCGTAAGCCGCCCGCGCCGAGCCAAGTCCTCCCTCACCGCTCCCTCGCTGCCGCTTCCCGCGCGCTGTGTTCGCGTGCGCGCGCCCGCGCGGACGCCGCCCGTTGCAAGCCGCGCGCGCGTGCCGAGTGGTCGACCGCCCGGTCGCCGCCGCCGTCAGCCTCTGCACGCGCCTGTCGCCAATGTCGCCGCTCCGCTCCAAGCCGTCCCCCCGTCATCGTCGTCGTCATCGCCCGGCCCCCGCCACTCCGCGCGCAAGCCGCCAAGGGACGGAGCCGCGCCCCTCCTCCCTCTGCCGCGACGCTCCCGCTCCCCTTCCCCTTTTTCCCGAATCGGCAAAGGGGCAAGCCCCTTTCTCCCCCTCCTTTTCCCCTTTTTTCCTCCTCGCCGGCGTCATCCTCCTGCCGCCGCTTTGGCTGCAAGCGCCGAGCGCCAGCTCGCGCCTTGACCGTTCAATGTCGGTTTCCCTCGCCCAAACCGACATTGCCGCCCATTTAAGCCCAAGCCCTCCCCCTCCAAACTCTCTCATTTTCGCCTCCGCGCCATTGCCGCCCTCTGTTTCGCCGTCGCCAATCATCGTTGCGCGTGTCGGAGGAGCCGGCACGAGCAAGGACGTGGAAGAGGACTTCGGCCGCGCCCTCTTCTTCCTCTTCCCCGGCCCAAGGCCGGAGAGATTACTCCCGCGCCGTCGGCCTCTCGTCACAGCGCCCCGTCCCGCACGGTAGTGCCTCCCTCCGTTCTTCCTCCTCGCTCCATCTCCTCCCCTTAGATTTCGGTAGTAGCTCGAGTAGCCTCCCCGTAGTTAGCCGGCGTCGCCCCGACCGTTGCCGTCGCTCGCCGTGTGCTCGCCGCCGTCGCCGCCCGAGCTCCGTAGCACCCGCTCGTCGCCGGCCTCGCTCGGCGTAGTTCCGCCCAATCCGACGCTAGCGTCGAGTTCCCGAAGCCGCGTAGATGCTCTCACCGCCGGGAATCGGCCCCTCGTGGCCTCGTCGCCGTTTCCCTCTTCCCTCGCCGCTGGTTGCCGCCGCCGCAATCCGCCGCCGTCGAGCAACCTCCGGCGAATCCGAGCCGTTGGCTCGTCTCCCCTCGTCCCGTGCAACCGCCCGGTGTGCTCGCTTTTGCCTGTATCACCGTGGTTCGCTCTGCCGCTCGCCGCCGCCACCCGCCGTCCATTCGCGGCCGGGTCGTCGTCTACCTCCCGCCGGCCCGCGTGGCAGCCACGTAGGCGCCACGTCGGCGCCAGCTCAGCCTAGACCGGGTCGAGCCGACCCCGGTCGGTCCCTCCCCGTGCGCGCGTTCCACCGCGAGCCGTGAGGCTGCGCGTGGGCCCGCCGCATCCGCGTCCACCGCGAGCCGCGCGCGTGCACCGCGTCCCAACCCCGCCCGCGCGCGTGCGCCGCGCGCTCCCTCCACACGGTGAGCCGAGCCGCTGACAAGCGGGTCCCACCCGGGACCACGCGTGGTGAGCCCGGTCCACCGGCTCCCTCTCTCTCCTCCCTCCCGCGCGCGCGCGCTTGGGCCGTCTTGGGCCGGCCGGTCCGTTAAGCTCGGCCGAGCCGCCCCAAATCTCTTGGGCCGCACCCTAGCCACCCGAGAAAAGTCTATATTCCCTCCCTCCTTTCTTTTCTTTTTCTTTTCCAAAAAGGATTTAATTAAATCCTTTTTCCGTTAGACCAAAAATCCAATAATCTTAGAAATTCAATATCTTCCCACCCGTAAATCCGTTTGACTCCGTTCAACTTCCAAAATTCCTCAAATCTCGAGATCTATCTAATGGCACGCTTAGAGGTCATTAATAGTGTCGGTGACATGGGACCGAGAGTATCATGACTTAGAGACTTGAGGCAGACACGATCACCCACGTGGCCTAACCCCCTCGGGGGGGGGGGGGTCGGGCCCGAGGGTGATACGGCCGCCCTTCTCTTTGTCTCCCCGAGGGGTCGGACCGCTCCCGTCTCGGCCCCGAGAGCCGAGGCGCCCCGACCCCTTGTGGGTTTTGCGCCGCGTATATGGGGTAGGTGAGCATAGCGGGGCTCACCTAACCACATTTATTGCGGTTTGGACGAGCGCGTCACGCCGCATGTAACGCAGTGCAGCGCGCTCGTTTATCCGGTCTGTGACCAGTCACAGACCGATCAGATCGTGGGTTAGGTGGCGACAGGCGGTCTGACGCACGCCTCGCCCCATCCCGTCAGGATGAGAGCCTCCAAGCACTTGTCCCTAGCCGGAGCCGGCGTGTTAGCTCCTGGAGATGGCACGTTGGTCCCGGTCAGATATATACCAGGCTTCATCCTAACCATTACAGGCAAGATATTGTATGAAGAAGGGCGAACATGCAGATTGATAAACTGACGCGTGGTAGACAAGAATGACCGATTTGTGACCGGTCTGACACTGGTCATGTCGTCAGCAGACAGCCATGTTCCCACGTCGCGCCTGCTTCCGGCGGAAGTGGAGGTAGGTATGGGCCGTCCCATCAGAAGGTCATTCGGACGGCAACCATACAAGTCTCCGTCTGTTTATGAAAAGATAGGATAAGTCCCCACAAAAAAGAGAGAGATGGTGCATGTGGTATCCCCTTGAGGTATAAAAGGAGGACCTTGCCCACTTAGAGGGGGGATTTTTTGGGGGATGATTTTTTCGGATCCAGAACGATCAGAGAGGGAGAGAGTAAGAGCTCTCTGGTTCTCCAGCTCTTTTGTAGCTTCTTCATACATAGATCCACCAAAACACAGGAGTAGGGTATTACGCTTCTCAGCGGCCCGAACCTGTATACATCGCCCGTGTCTTGTGTGTTTCCATTCTCGCGAACCTTCCACACACCAGGAGCTTAGAATCTCACCCAGGGCCCCCGGCCGAACCGGCAAAGGGGGGCCTGCGCGGTCTCCCGGTGAGGAGCCCCCACGCTCCGTCAAATAGGGCTTTATTTTCGCCGTTTGTTGAGTTGTTCCGTTTCGCGTGTAGTTCCGGAGCCCGAAGACCCGCAGTGCGAGGATTTCGAGGATCAAGCTCCAGATCTCGAGCAAGGCAAGCCACCTTTGAACATCTTGAGCCTATATTTGAAATCTAATTATATTGCTTGCAAAATATTATGCATTGATAGGATTGCACTTAATCTATTGTTCCATCTGCAAGGCAGATTGGCGGACCTACCTAAATTGTTGCATTTGATCCTTTCCTTGTTAATTGTTATAGCATGTCCCCTTGTAACCACCTAGTTGCGTCTTGATATTCGTGCATCCTGTGCGAGTATCGACGGACGCCTTCAAACTTATAATCTGAATAACAACTTGGGTAAAACTTGGGTTTTACGAAAGATTTGGAAAACCCGACACCTGGGTCGGTGCTTGCGAACTAAATGAATTTCCAGAACCGCGGACCGGGGAACGTACCGGGTGTACGGTTTCCCGCTCTCGCACTTAAGGACCGATTTCCTTGGAATTTAATCCAAACATAAGACAAGTACGACCACATGGGTGGAATGGGACACCCCTGGCTGAGTAACTAGCTTATCAGGGGAGCCTTGATGCCGAGAGACATGTGGATTCGCCGGGGTGGTGTCGGGGAGGACCCCTGGGCTTCCTGGCACAGTATGGTCTGGGACCTAACCTGTTGTTGGTCTGGGACCCCTCTCGTCGGCATATGATAAACCTGTATCGGCTTTCGAAATGCCTTGTCATGAAAGCTTGGAGGTCTCCCGACGTGGCTGATCCCCACGGGCTGGGTGATCCGGGTTAGTAATGTCGTGTGGGTAAAGTGTACCCCCTCTGCAGAGGTTAACAAATTGTTCGAACAGCCGTGCCCACGGTCATGGGCGGATGTGAGGTGATTCCTAGCGTAGTTTTGTTTGACTACTGCTTGTGAAATTGCTGTTGTGAAAAGGGG